CTTTCTTTCTTTCTTTCTTTCTTTCTTTCTTTCTTTCTTTCTTTCTTTCTTTCTTCCTTCCTCTCTCTTTCTCTTTCTCTCTCTGGGTGATTCTGTGTCTGTGTGTGTGTGTGTATCAATGGTGGGTTTCAAAAAATTTCGGAACCTCTTCTGTAGGTGGGGCCTGTTTTCCGAGTCCACTGGTGGAACTTGTTCTAACCGGTTCAGTAGATTTGATGAACCGGTTCTACCGAACTGGCGTGAACTGGTAGGAACCCACCTCAGATCTAGTGAAACAAACCAAACCAAAAGCAACTGCAAGGAAATTGTTTTTTTTTTTCTAATCAAAGTAACCTTCACAATGCCATCTCCTGCAGCTGATAGGAAGGAAGAACAACTGTGGGGGTGGAGGTTTTTTTTAAATAACAAAATGATCTGGAAGGAGAAAGTGCCCTCCTTTTCTTGAGGCTGCTTTTCCTTAAGAAAAGGTCAGAAGATTGTTAAGTGCAACTGCTGGGATTTCTTTAACTTGTCACATCGTTTTTGGAATGTTCTTAAGTGCATTTTGGTAATTATTTGTGACAGTGCAAAAAACGCCAAAATGAAACTGGATATGTAAGAGAGCTCCAGAGGACGACATTACTTTGAGATATTGTGGAATTATTCTTATCCTTCCATACATAGTATAGAGAAAATCACAATATTTTCTTATGCAATGTAGAGAAAATCAGAGCTGGCTGGAGAATTCTGGGAGTTGAAGTCCACAAGTCTTAAAGTTGCCAAGTTTGGGAACCACTGAGGTAACCTAATACTGTGGGATCTTCAGCCCTCTAGAAAAAAATAAATAAACCTGTTTCTTGGTCACCTAAATGTCACCTGCCCCTACCCCTGGTTAGATAAAACAGCCTAGGCCCAAAGGAAAAGCAAATTAATTCCAGGTTATTTTCAAGAATCTGAGCCTCAGAGAAGAGATTTTTTTATTTATATACCACCCATCTCACGGTGGAAGCAACTCTGAATTCTTGTTTCATGCTTTCTGCAATTCCCTTATGAGTTGTCCTATATAGATTTCTTCTACATTTTTTCCCTGCAGTTCAAGAGCCGCAAGGAAGATCGCGAACGCAAAGGCTCCATTCCTTTCCACCACACGGGGAAGAAAAGGCAACGGCGAATGGGAGTGCCCTTCCTACTCCATGAAGACCATTTGGATGTCTCACCTACCCGAAGCACATTCTCCTTTGGCAGCTTCTCTGGGATTGGTGAAGACAGGCGTGGCATTGAGAGAGGAGGGTGGCAAACCACTATTCTAGGTGACTAAAAGGCTCTTACTGAAGACAAGTAACTTTTGTAATAAACCAGAGTTTTCTACTGGTTATGGACATCAGTTGCTTATAATCACGGAGTGTACACTTTAATGTTGTCTTGTTTTTGTATATCCTTCCCTTCCCCTTTTTTACTTGTAAGCCGCCCTTAGTCTATAAATAAATAAATAAAATAAATACACAACAGTGATGGGTTTCAAAAATGGTTGGAACCTACTCTGTGGGTGTGGCCTCCTTTGTGGGAGTGGCTTGCCACCCATGTGACCGGATTGGAGTGGCTTGCCGCCCATGTGACCGGATATGAAATTATGAA